AAGGACCCTGTTGTCCTCACAGGACCCCAAAGGGAATGCCATCACGTGGCCTGTGTTGTGAGGGCTATTTCTGGTCTCCAGTAGTGTTTGAGACTCAGAGGGCTTAGCTGCCACAGCTGAGACTGGGACCCGGTCTGTCTGTCTGCAAACAAACCCATCTTCACTTGCTACAGCATCGATGAACCTTGAGGACACCATGCTAAGGGAAATAAGCCAGTCACAAGAAGACAAATACTGTATGATTCCGCTTATATAGGGTCCCTAGAGTAGACAAATTCATAGAGACAGAAAGTAGAATGGTGGTGGGTCGGGGGAGTGGAGTGGGGAGTGAGTTAGGGACAAAGTTTTAGTTGGGGCAGATGAAAAAGTTCTAGAGATGGACGGTGGTGATGGTTGGACAACAATGTGAATGGACTTAAAGCCACTGAACTACACACTTAAAAATGGTAAATGGGGGGGGCTGGCTCGGTGGCGCAGCGGTTAAGTTCACACGTTCTGCTTCTCAGCAGCCCGGGGTTCGCTGATTCCGATCCCGGGTGGGGACATGACACCACTTGGCACGCCATGCTGTGGCAGGCATCCCATATATAAAGTAGAGGAAGATAGGCATGGATGATAGCTCAGGGCCAGTCTTCCTCAGCAAAAAGAGGAGGACTGGCAGTAGTTAGCTGAGGGGTAATCTTCCTCAAAAAAAAAAAAAAAAGAAGGCATGTAAGTTGCTGAAAGGCAATTACTTTGCAATAAAAAATTATACATGTACAACAGGGTCTGTGAGGGAACCTAACAGGACTTAAGCAATCCCCAGGGGGCTCGGCTGCACAGGGAGGAAAAGCGCTGACGATGCCAGAAGCCCCAGTCTCCACTGGATCCCAATCAGGTGGGCTTTCTGAGCAGGAACCCCCAGCCTCTCCTTGGGAAAGTTGATTCTCCATAAAGGAAGCCTGCTCCTCTGCAGTCTGCTCCTCCCTGCACTGTTCCAGTTTTCTAACCGGAGGCATCGTTAAAAATGTCATTTTTTGGTTTTTAAAAACAGAAAAAAAGCAATGCTTGTAGGGAAAAAAATCATCAAATAGAAAATTTTATCATACAATTTCCCACAAGTTCTGTGATTTCCCCATTAATCAAGTCTTTGCAAATTTACAGAACAGAGGGTGGTTGGGCTGACCCTCCGTGGCTCTCTGCCCTCCTCCAGTGTAGAAGCCTTGGAGTACAAAGACAGCAGTGCCCCGCTGCCTCTCTGGGTGAAAACAGCCTAAAGCGCTGGCCAGAAAAAGGGCTAGTCAAAGCTGAGCCCTTGGAGGGACAAAGGATTAAAACACACGCCAAAGCCAGACCAGCTGACGCCTGAGTGCAAGGCTTCTTTGCAAAGATGCAATTTTGTTCTCTTTAAAGAGCCAGGAGCGAGGCTGCCAGCAGGGAGCCAGTGTGCGTGTGGACATTCAGGGAGGGGTAACAGGAAGGACCAATGCTCCATGGATAACTCCTGAGCATCACTGCGTGCCGACAGCTCCGGGACATGGAAGAGACCAAAGGCCTTTCCTACTAAACTCCTGGCTGGTGCTGGGGGCTCTGCTCTCGACTCAGCACAAGGGCCAGCTTTCAGTCAACTTTGCCCCACCGAGGCCTTCTGGTGGTCAGGAACCAGTTGCTTTGGACGTTATTACTAGTCGCTATCATTTTAGATTTATGAGGAGCCCGTTAAGTGCTGACACTGTACCTAAGATGCCATGTCACACCCTGCTGGGGCTTTGCCAGGTGTGCATAATTACAAGCCAGGAAGCTGAGGCCTGGAGATGGGCCTGAAGGCAGACAAGTCTGCCCTGGAACGCCGCTCTAGTGCAATCACGTTACAAAGACGCTTCACTGTTCCTCCTGGAGGCAGAGTTCCCAATATATTATCAGGATTAAAACAAAACAAGGAAAGACTTTGTGGTGAGATGTCCCGCTGTCAGTGACTTGAGCCAGCCTGGGCCCCGAGGCCCACTGCCACTTCTGATGGCCACACCTGGATTCTCTTTTTTGGGGGTGAACATGAGCAATTAAAAGACCAATGTCCACAAACAGCACCCAACACACACAGGGGAAAAGAGACTCAATTTTATTTTACTTCTTAATCCAGAAAACAGAAGCATTAAATTTTATCAAAGGGAAAAGCAGGAAAAGATACATCACTGAGATAACCTTTATTCTGTAATTATTTAAAAGTTCACAAAAATACTCTACTGGAATACGGCTGTGACAGAGAACTGTCTTAACCTAACATTTCCTTAACTGAGCATACAAATGTTAGAGTCAAAATAACTTTATTTCTGACGTGAAGCAACATTTACCACAATCATTTAATCTTAAATGTTTAAGAATCCAAGACAGGAACACAACACTGTCACTTCTCGTTAATTCACTCAGAGCATTTGAGAACCTAGCAACAGTTAACACCACGAGTCAAGTCAAACTTGTCGGCATTAAGTTAAACTGTTCTTACAAAAGGATAACACAGGTTACTGAGATTTCAACCACACTTACGTCTTGAGTTGCTAAAGCTCTCCTGCCAGTCCTCAATATCTACCTACCATGTCAGTTACGCCAAGTGGAAACGATTTTAGGAGAATTACTTGGGACTCTGAACCTGGGACTTGTGGATGCTGCTCCTTTGGCTCTTAACCAGCAGTCCTCCTGCGCCCGCAAGGCCTCTCTATCCCTCCGGTAGGAGGGTGTCAAGACCCCCACAACTCAGCTCACCCGGCCCAGGACGCTACCACCGTGGGGCACTGCTCCCTCTGACAATTTCAAAGAATGCTTTACTTTCTCAATTGTTACTTTATAAAGTCAAAGAATCACTTGTCCTTTCCTTTGTCAGAATATAGAACATATGTTTGTTTTTCGCTCTTTTTAAGTTTCTTAAAAGAAAGCACCCTTGGACCTGTGAAGGCAGCATCTCCACCGCCTCAGATGAGAGGGGCTCTGGTGAGGATAAGAACCTCAAGACTCTGCACGGCACTGTGTCACCTTGGTCACTTTGCTGTCCCATGCCTGCCCACTGGACAGAGACCTGCCCAAGGCCCGGCCCACCCTTGGAGGGTGGCACTGGTGGACAGAGCTCCGTGGCCCCTGACAGACACTGGGGGCATCGCGTTCCCTGGCTCTCAGGCTTTCTCGCTTCAGGAGGTCTGCTTCTGGAGACCTCTGCCTTCTAATGTTACCTGCCCCTCCTACCCCCCATGCGACCAGAGCTTATTTGAAGAAGTTTCTGTTCCTTGAAACCTCAAGAGGCTTGCCTCTAGGAGCCCTGAGGATCTCAGGAGGTAAATTATCAAACGTGCCCGGAAGAGCTAGTTGGTGAAAGCTCTTGTTCAGTGTAAATGCTGGTAATGCACCGCCAAGCCACCAGCTGAAGGGCAGAACCCATGTGCTCGAGGACGCAGTACACAAGCTATCTGGAGCGCCGGGCTAAGAACTCTGGCACATGGTCTCAGCATCTCAGGGTGTGATTCAGGACCCTTGTGATTTCCAAACCCTTGTGTTTGGAAAGGCCCTTTATGAACAGCAGATCCTGCACAGTTGTTCAACAGTCCCACAGATTACAAAAGACACCCATACTTTCCATCTTCTCCCTCTGCCTTCACAGACAGTAACATGTAAGACAAAACATGATGTATCTCTTACAGTCTGCAAGGATGCCGTGAGCATACACACACCGTCACCACCCACGCTGGAATTCACTTTCCCAAAAAACAAATTTCCTTTCAGACAATCCACTTGTTTTTTGCTGTTACTCTGGAAAGTCATCCTCAAAATTTCTAAGAATTGATGTACAAAAAGAATTAGAAATGATACCACTGGAAGTTGTTTATGCCAACGTCACACTGCCTGGGGAGAAGACAACCATTAAATGACCTTCAGTCAGTGAATTTGATGGGAGAGGAGGAATTAAAAGCTAGGAAGTGGTTCATACCTTCTGGGCTGGGCTCGCCCACACGGAACAGAGGGCCCCTGTCCGGGGACCCCAACCCTGGTGGTTATCACTTTTTCCCTTGTTTCTCTGCAGCTGCACACAGTGTGACACACGCTGGTGTCAGGCTGAGAACCTGTGTTTAGCAGAGGGAGTGGCAGGAATTAACGATACAGTGTTATTTCTGGGTAACCTCATGGTCCACGCGCCCCACTCTCCGGGGACCTTGGTTAGCAGAGCTGGGTTAACTGCCCCGCAGCGTGACTGACCCAGTGCAGGGTTCTCCAGTGGTGCGTGGCGCACGGGCTTTCCTCTTCGGGTTCTCACACTCACCCTCATCCATCTGCACAGCCCTTAAAGGCCTCAGTGCAGGGGGTGGGGTGGGGTGATATGCTTCTTCTGGTTTCTGGAATTTCTCCTTGGAAATCATCTTCAGTGGCAGCAGTTTATAAGTCACAGAAGAAATCCAGTCTTGTGACTCTATTGTCATGCCTCATTTTGGAATAAAAACTACTTGCCAAGTGGCGTTTAGTTAATTCCAGATATCTTGTCTATCCTCAGAGGACACGCTGGCTAATGTGGCCTGCCTCTGAAGGCCACTTCCCCATTGCTGAGGCAGGCATCCCCTCCTGCAAGCTGTGACCCCATGCCACACGGCTCCAGGATGCAGTACAAAGAGAGCCTCCTCATTTTAAAACCATATAATCCTACTTCAAACAACTGTGGTTTCAAAAGAATTTAAAAAACAGAGGAGTGTGATCCAGAGCAAGTTGTCGGGGAAAACTCTGGAAACAGGCTCTCCCTCACTTGAGTAAATGGAGAAAAGTTCTCTCAAGGTGGCTCCGCAGTCACCTGAGGTCTCTGACAGGAGCTGCACTTGCTTCAAGTCTGTAGGGCAAGCATCCCAGGACAGCTGCATTTCATCAGGGTACAAACCCAGGGGCCTCCAATAATTCCCGGCTCACTGGTCATGTGAGCGCGTGGGGACACGTGGCAGCTTCCAGTTCACTCGGCAGCAAGCTTCCAAATCATTCCCAACAGTGGAGCCCACTTTTTTAAGTGAAACTTTATTAATATTTTTATATTGTTTTATTTCAAATTGGTACAATTCAAAAACACAGAAAACAGGCACACAGTGATTGGGTTTTTATTTAATATGACGTCTGTGACTGAGAGCTGGCCTGGTGTCCACACTCAGGGTGAAGCCAGGTGACCTACAGCACCCCAGGACCCGCGGATTCCCAGCCCGCCCTGCACTGAAACATAAGCCAAGGGGCCCCCATAAAGAAGCTGGTGGACTCAGATCACTTACGGGTGTTTAGAGCCCTGGTAAAGCGGGCTCCTGTAACCAGCTGTTTCTTGTGGAAACTTGGACACTGGGCGGGTGGGTCAGGGTGGGCTCCTAATTGATGGTCTTCTTTTGTTTCAGTCTAAGCTTGTTCCAAATCTTCTCCAGGGCCACTTTTCCCATGAAGTACGTGATGGCAAAATTACGCTTGTACCAATCTCTACAGAGGAACAGGACAAGCACAGGTGACATATCCCCAGTGACTGACGACTAGCACGCAGGTCTCTGAGGTGAGTTCCCAGCCAAAAGGCAAGGCCCCCTGACTCCTCCTCCTCCTTTCCTCACAGTCTCTTCCTTTGCCTGCCTCCATTAAAGGTAAATTGTCCATAAAAACCTTCCTTCCTTCCACCTGGATTTTCATCAGGATGAGAAAAAGGCTCAATGGTGATGTGCCCAGGTCACCCAAACCCCATTTTGTCCCATTCCTGGAGGACACTGCAACCCTCTTCTGGTTTTTGCTAAAAGACTCCAAAAGAGCCCTCGGAATCGTGGGGCTGCCCTGGACTCCAGTGGCATTCTTGGAGAGACACAACTGTTGAGTGACGGGGGCGTGACCGCTTAGCAAAATGACTGGCAGGCTCTGCAGGAACTCAGTGGGGACCATCCTGGTATTGGCATCTTATTGGCATAAGGAACACATGACAAAAGCACTGCATCATGAGAAGCTAATTTATCACGAGTGCCAACATTACAAAGCTCCAGATCCTCTTTTTCGAGATGATCTGAGCTTCAGTGTAATTTAAGTCTTTAAAGAGATAATTCCAGAGCTTCTCATACAAATATTGGGATGGAGTTCACACACAGTCGGGGCTCACTTGCCTGTGAGTTACTCTACAGAACATCCAAAACTTACAAATTCACCCCATTGTCAGCAGTTGAACGAGCAAAGCTTGGAAAGTTTCCACAACGAATGCACACATTCCAGGCTCTTAGTGCTAAGGCCTTGGAAGCTGAAATGCCAACAAGACCAGTGCTTTTCGGCCAAATGAGCTAATCAGTGAATGTGGAACTGCCATTCCGAACTGGACTCAAGTGATTTACTGGCTCTGAGTATAGAAGGAAGGAGAATAACCAAGGGCTCAAAAGAAGCAATAGCAAGAGGTAAAAATGCTCGTTTTCTGGAGCCTTCGCATGGCTGGATAGAAAATCCCTCTCCACATGAAAACCATCTTTACATTTCTAGCTATTTAAGTGATGCAATAAATGGGAAGCTATTTATTTATTCTAAATAAATAAGAAAGGCTTCCAGAAAAAGAAAACCAGTATCCCTTTGGGATTCAAGTTCTTCTGTTATTAAGGAAAAGCCAGAGCCCACTCCACCGATACAGATGACTTGATTTAATGAAGTGTAGGGACAGGCAAACTACGCTCTTCCTGTTTCCATAGGGAAGCAGGGGCAGCAGGTGGGGGGCGCATACAGGGGCACTCAGCCTCCAGAGTTGCTTGGCCTTTGGTGAGCTGTTTCTCTCTGCTCTGAATGCCGCAGACTGCACAGACAGCTAACGTGCTGTGCCCTCCTCAGAAATCAAAGGTTCAGAGACAGATAATTAATACTGGCCTGAGTGAGGAACTGAACTAGTTCAGAGCAATATATGACAGCACGAGCAACAGAATCCAGATGCATCAGAACTAATCTTTATGTCCAAGCCTTGCTCTCATGAGCTCCTCCAGCCTCAACCATCCTCTAGATCCTGCCTCACCTGCCTGATCCGATGCTGTCACTATTACATCTTAAAGCAAATCTCAAACATCATATCCGATCATTTCCACTGGAAATACACATTGTTATGCATCATTAAAATCTTTTTTAAGAACACATAACCACAATACTACCACTGCATTGATAAAATGAACAATAACTCATCCTTAACCTAATACACAGCCACTGTTCAATTTCCTCTGACTTTTACAAGTGGTTTGTCTGAACCAGGGTCCAAACAAGGTCTATCCATTTCATGAAGTCTCTTTTAATCTATAATAGTTCACCCTATATCTGTCTTTGTTTTTGATTGTAGTTACTTGCTGAAACTGAATCATTTGTCTTACAGAATTTCCAACATTTTGGGATTGTATCTTCAGGCTGCCTCTCTCTCTCTCTTTTTCTTGATGAGGAAGTTTGGCCCTGAGCTAACATCTGTGCCAATCTTCCTCTATTTTGTACGTGGGTCACCACCACAGCATAGCTTGACAAGTGGTGTGCAGGTGCATGCCTGGGATCTGAACCTGTGAACCCTGGGCCACCAAAGCAGAGCACATGAACTTCACCACTACGCCACCAGGCTGGCCCCCTTCAGGCTGTCATTTTATTTATTTTATTTTTTTGAGGAGGAGTAGCCCTGAGCTAACATCTGCTGCCAATCCTCTTCTTTTTGCTGAGGAAGACTGGCCCTGAGCTAACATCCGAAGCGAAGCGTGTGAACTTAATCACTTGGCCACGGGGCCAGCCCCCAGGCTGTCATTTTAAACAAGGTCTGCTATGAATCCCTCTCTCACCCCCACATACACGCTTTTACGCTTTCTCTGTGAACTGGTATTAGATTTGGAGGCCTGACTAGATTCCAATCCCATTTTATTTTTGGTAAGAGCACCTCATGGGTGGTGCTGCACGCCTCCTCCTGTATCTCAGAGGCATGTGGTGATAGCTGTCCCACTTGGTACTGTGTGAAGGTGCACCAGGGGTTCAGGTGCCACCAGCCTGACCCATCTGCTGTTAAGTCCTCATCAGCTTCCTGCTCAACGGCTTTAGCAGCACGGGTGACTGCTGTCCGGATTCATTACTCCATCAGGGAAGCGGTAGTTTTCCAGCACCATCACTCCTTTTGCAGTGGCTGTCATTCTTCCACAAAGAAAATGCTCCTTCATTTGGTTCCCATGTACTGAAATAGTCAGTACAGGAAAAGAGAGGTTCATACGCATGTGTTTTGAATTCTTTCCTTTTATTTATCAGTTTTCAGAATAACGAGTCGGCTGGCTAGCAATATCTGGAGGTGACTCATGAGCCTGTCGGTATCATTATGGTTACAAAGATGTTTGCATATCTGATCCATTTTTAACCCACCATGGTCACCTTTGTGTGGCTACAATGGCTTCATCTTTGGCCTGTGGGAGCCCCTCAAGTTGGCTCCTATGCCGTTTTTCACGTGACTCTGCTGGTCTCTGAGCCTCTTCACTTTCAGACACAGGATGCCTAGACTCCTTCTGTGCCACCCCAGACTGGGCTTCTCCACGGAGTCAGGCTCCCTTTAGAGGGAAGTACTGTCAGAACCCACCGTCCAAGCACTAGGGGTGCAAACTGCTATAGGGCTGCCAGGAAAATAACTTTAAGTTGTCAATTTTATTCAAAAGTGAAAAAACTAAGTTCACAGCAAATTCTACCTTTAATATAAACATGAAAGTTGTTAAATTCAGGTAAGAAAATAATATACCCAGCATGGATGTGACACTCAAATTTTTAGGAAAAAATTAAACACCTACCTGTTATAATACATATGCTTCTGAAAATTTTTACTTAAAAATTCCTTATAAAAGTCAGCCATTTCTTCTGCATTCAATGTTGCTTTTTGACCTGAAAATTAATTTCAACGTAAACATTAAGACTTAAGGAGAAGGGATCCACAAATAACTACTGATCTGATAACTGAGTTCAGCAAGGTTGCAGGATATAAGATCAATAGACAAATGTCAACTGTATTTCTATACACTGGCAATAAACAACTGGCAATGAAATTAAGAAAATGATTCCATTTATAATAGCATCAAAAAGAATAAAAGACTTAGGAATAAACTTAAAAGAGAAAGTATAAGACTGATACAACGAAACTACAAAATATGGTTGAAAGAAATGAAAGAAGACGTAAATAAATGGAAAGACATTCCATGTTCATGGTTTTGAAGATTTAATACTATTCAGATCGCAACACCCCCCAAACTGACATACAGATTCAACATAATCCCTATCAAAACCCCAGCTGGCATTTTTTTGTAGAAATTGACAAGTGAATCCTAAAATTCATATGGAAATGCAAGGACTCCAGTGAACTTGAAACAAACTTGAAAAAGAAGAACAAAATTGGAGGACTCATACTTCTCAATTTCAAAACTTACTACAAAGCTACAATAATTAAGACTGTCTGCTGCTGGCATATGGATAGGCATATAGATCAAAAGAACCAAACTTACTCAGAAATAAACTCAAACATTTCTGTGCAAGTGATTTTCTTTCTTTTTTTTTTTCTGAGGAAGATTAGCCCTGCGCTAACATCTGCTGCCAATCTTCCTCTTTTTCCTGAGGAAGACTGGCCCTGAGCTAACATCCGTGCCCATCTTCCTCTACTTTATATGTGAGACGCCTACCACAGCATGGCTTGCCAAGCGGTGCCATGTCTGCACCCAGGATCCAAACCGGCAAACCCCTGGCCTTGGAAGCAGAACGTGTGCACTTAACCACTGTGCCACTGCGCTGGCCCAATGCAAGTGATTTTCTTTCTTTCTTTCTTTTTTTTTTTTTTACTGAGTTAATGATAGGTTACAATCTTATGAAATTTCAGTTGTACATTAATGTTTGTCGTTCGTGTTGTAGGTGCACCACTTCACCCTTTGTGCCCACCCCCCACCCACCTTTCCCCTGGTATCCATTAAACTATTCTCTAAGTCCACATTTTCAAATTCCTCATATGAGTGGAGTCATACAGAGATTATCCTTCTCTAACTGTCTTATTTCACTTAACATAATTCCCTCAAGGCCCATCCATGTTATTGCAAATGGAATGATTTTGTTCTGTTTTGCAGCTGAGTAGTATTCCACTGTATACATATACCACAACTTCTTTATCCATTCATCTGTTGATGGGCACTTAGGTTGCTTCCATGTCTTAGCTATTGTAAATAATGCCGCAATGAACATTGGGGTGGATAGGACTTTTGGGATTGCTGACTTCAAGCTCTTTGGATAAATACCCAGTGGTGGGATGGCTGGATCGTATGGTAGTTCTATTTTTAATTTTTTGAGGAATCTCCATACTGTTTTCCATAGTGGCTGCACCAGTTTGCATTCCCACCAGCAGTGTATGAGTGTTCCTTTTTCTCCACAATCTCTCCAACATTTGTTACTATTAGTTTTAGATATTTTTGTCATTCTAATGGGTGTAAGGTGATATCTTAGTGTAGTTTTGATTTGCATTTCCATGATGATGAGCGATGATGAGCATCTTTTCATGTGCCTATTGGCCATCCGTATATCTTCCTTGGAGAAGAACATTTGTCTGTTCATGTCTCCCGCCCATTTTTTGATTGGGTTGTTTGTTTTTTTGTTGTTGAGTTGTGAGAGTTCTTTATATATTATGGATATTAAGCCTTTGTCAGACATATGACTTGCAAATATTTTTTCCCAGTTAGTGGGTTTTTTTTTGGTTTCAATTCTGTTTTCATTTGCCTTGGAGAAGCTCTTTAGTCTGATGAAGTCCCATTTGTTTATTCTTTCCCTTCTCTGCAAAGACATGGTGTCCGAAAAGATCCTTTTAATACTGATGTCAAAGAGTGTACTGCCTACGTTTTCTTCTAGAAGCCTTATGGTTTCAGGTCTCACTTTTAGGTCTTTGATCCATTTTGAGTTTATTTTGGTGAATGGTGAAAAAGAATGGTCAATTTTCATTCTTTTCCATGTGGCTTTCCAGTTTTCCCAGCACCATTTGTTGAAAAGATTTCTTTTCTCCATTGTATGCCCTCAGCTCCTTTGTCGAAGATAAGCTGTCCATAGATGTGTGGTTTTATTTCTGGGCTTTCAATTCTGCTCCATCCAATGCAAGTGATTTTCAATGAGGGTGCCAAGACAATTCAATGGGGGAGGAATAGTCTTTTCAACAAATAGTGCTAGGATAACTGGATATCCACAGACAAAAGAATAAAGTTGAAGCCCTACTTCAAACCATAAACAAACATAACCTCCCAATGGGTCAAAGGCCTAAATGGAAGAGATAAAACTATAAATCCCTTTGAAGAAGACTCGTGCAAATCTTCATCACCTTGAATTAGGCAACGCATTTTAGATATGGCACCTAAAGTACAAGCAAAGAAAAAAAAGATAAGTAGGACTTCATCAAAAGATAAAACTTCTGTGCTTCAAAGGGCATTATCAAGAAAGTGAAGGGGCCAGCCCAGTGGCACAGCGGTTAAGTGCACACGTTCCGCTTTGGTGGCCTGGGGTTCGCTGGTTTGGATCCCGGGTGCGGACATGACACCGCTTGGCAGCCATGCTGTGGCAGGCGTCCCACATATAAAGTAGAGGAAGATGGGCACGGATGTTAGCTCAGGGCCAGTCTTCCTCAGCAAAAAGAGGAGGATTGGCAGCAGATGTTCGCTCAGGGCTAATCTTCCTCAGGGGGGAAGAAAAAAAGTAAAGTGAAGAGACAATCTAGAGAATGGGAACAACTATTTGCAAATCATCTATCTAATTTCGGTCTAATATCCAGAATATGTAGAGAAGTCTCACAACTCAACAATAAAAAGAGAACCCAATCATTATGAATTTTAGTTGACCAAAATCCCAATGTAAGTGCATTCCTTAAGTATCTACGTAGCAGAATTAGGGCAAGTGTAATATAATAAATAACTCTGTTCACATAAATTATTAACATAAGTGTATGATAAAAGAAATTAGGCAGAAAGGGGAACGAGCTCAGGTCAAGAATTTGTCTTCTGTTGGTGCAACAGTGCAGAGCCTACGGCAATAAAGAGGAAGAAATGGAGCAATGAAATCATTTTCACATACTGATAGAAAACCAATGCTTTCCGATGTTGGGTGGGAAGGTGAACAACGTAAAAATGAGCTGACTGGCTGGTTTGTCTGCCTGGTCATTCAATAAACTCTGATCCATTTATGCCCCCAAAAAACAAACAAACCGTGATCCCAATTTAAAAATGGACAAAGGATTTGAATAGCTTTTTCTCCAAAAAAGCTATAAAAATGGCCAATGGGAACATGAGAAGATACTCAACATCATCAGCCATTAGGGAAATTCAAGTTAAAAAGATAATAAGATATCATTTCACACCTACTGGGATGACTATAATCAAAAAGACAGACAATAACACGTATTGAAGAGGATGTGGAGAAATTGGAACCCTCATACACTGCTAGTAGGACTGTTCAATGTACAGCCACTTTGGAAAACAGCCTGAAAGTTCCTCAAAAAGTTAAACAAAGAGTTAACACAAGACCCTGCGATTTCACTTGTAGGTATATACACGATTGTGCACAGCAGCATTACTCGTAAGAGCCAAAAAGCGGAAACAACTCAAATGTCCATCAACTGATGGATAAATAAAATGTGGTGTATCCCTACCACTGAATGTTATTCAGCCATAAAAAACAATCTTTGAAACACTGAAACATACTACAACATGGATGAACCTCGAAAATACACACTGAAGAGAAAGAAGGCCAACACAGAAGACCACATATTGTATGATTCCATTTATCTGGAAACGTCCAGAATAGGGAAATCCTAGAGACAGAAAGTAGATCAGCAGCTGGTGGGAGGAGTAACCGGCAATGGGTGTGGCGGTTTTGGGGTGACGAAAATGTTTTGGAATTAGATAGTGGTGATGGTTGCACAATCTTGTGAATACTAAAAACCACTGAATTGTACACTTTAAAAGTGTAAATTTTATCATATGTTAATTATCTCAATAAAGAAAGAGGACTTAAGGATGAAAAAAGCATCTTCCTCTATCATTAGACCCTAATGGTTATGGCGTTAACTCATTTTCTTCACAACTGATATACATGAAGGCATATATCTATCAACGTACAGAACGTGTGATGCGTCTTATCACGTATACCTCAACAGCTGAAGTTTCTAATGAAGAACTGTGAGGTACTAGTATAAAGGAAATGAAATGTTTCCTACTTTGAATGCATCCTGGGTAGATACCAGCCTAACCACTCCATCTCTGAGTCAGTGAGCACACACGAACCAAGTTAACACATTAGGTGTTGGTGTGGAATGGTGGCACACAGGGACTGACCTGGCCACCACCGGGGTGCCCCCCATGCAGGGGGAGATGCCAATTGTGGCGCCCACTCTCAGGGCTCCTCTACTCTCCAAAGACTGGAAAAGGCCACACAGGACAGCAACCACACCTGCCATGGGGGCAGCAGAGCTCCTCTGAAGTGGGGCTGCAAAGCAACCCAGGGGCCAGTCTCAGGAGCCCAGAAATAGCTCAGGGGCGAGGGAACAAGACCACACTGGGAGGGCACTCTGGCTGAGTAGCCCCAAGCCGTAAACAGACACCACCATCTCTAGAGGAGCCCAGGCACGACATCCAGGGCTTCCTGCACTTTCAGGGGAGCCCCATGCAGAGGCCCGTGCTCGGGCTCCCCCTCCTCGCAGTTTGGTCCACTTGCCCCACGCCAGCCCCCCGAGATGAGTCTCCATGCAGAGGCCATGTTTTTTGGCTGCATAGCAGATTCTGATGCTCCAAACCCCATCAGGATTTTGGGGAGACAAAGCTGAGAAGGTAGCCCAAAGGCATGTTTCCACAGAAACAGGAGGGAAAGTGGCCCTT